AAAAAAAAAAAAAAAAAAAAAAAAAAAAAAAGATTCTCATAAACCTTTAATAATCCTTTATAATTTTCTGTTAAAAAGCAGTGTAAGAAAACCCTGTTGTGCTTTTATTCCAATGTTTGATTTATGAAAATACTGAATAATTGTATAATATCCCTTTAACTTTAACTAACAGGTTCACATACAGAATTTTTTTTTAAATAACATATATATATATATTATTGCATTTTAGGTTCTGGGGTACATGTAAAAAACACGCTGGATTATTGCATAGGGACATACATGGCAATGTGGTTTGCTGCCTCCATCCCCTTCACCTATATCTGGCATTTCTCCCCATGTTATCCCTCCCCACCTCCCTACCCGCCACTGTCCCTCCCCTAGTCCACCACCCCCACAGACCTCAGTGCACACACAGAATTTTTACCGATTAATCTTTCACAAACCTTCCATAACTTGGCCAAAGCTTCAGCTTTATCCTACCTAAGATGAAACAATCCTTTAATCCTCTAAACCAGACCCAAAAACCCCACATTCCCATGTCTTCTTATAATTTTTTACCAGAAACAGATTCTACTTTCTTTACACTCCTTGCATATAAAACTGTTTCTTCAGTAGTCTTGATTACATGTGTTACAACGTTAACTCTTAGCAACTTTTATTTTTGGTGAAAAACCTGGTAAGTAAGCAATTTTAATTATGTACCACAGCTGGACACAGTAGCTAATGCCTGTAATCTCAGCACTTTGGGAGGCTGAGAAGGGTAGATCACCTGAGGTTGGGAGTTCGAGACCAGCTTGACCAACAAGGAGAAAACCCTTCTCTTCTAAAAATACAAAAAAATAGCTGGGTATGGTGGCATGCCTGTAATCCCAGCTACTTGGGAATCTGAGGCAGGAGAATGCTTGAAGCCGGGAGGTTCAGGTTGCAGTGAGCCGAGATCGCACCATTGCATTTCAGCCTGGGCAACAAGAGTGAAACTCCATCATACACATACACACAAAATTATGTACCAGGTGTGAAACCTAGGATACCAGACAGAAGTGAAGATAAGATTCGACTCTTTCCAACATAGCTAGGGGCATGGCTAACTCCATATGTCCCCAGGCCTTACCTAAAATCTAATGGCTCCAAAACAGGTAAGTTGAACAATTTTCAAAAGTCAAGGAGCAATTTATGACCTGTAAGCATTTAGCAGTGCTTGCTTTGGCAGGACATATACTAAAATTGGAATGATGCAGAGAAGATTAGCAGGCCCCTGTGCAAGGATGACATTCAAATTCATGGAACATTCCATATTTAAAAAATAAAAACAAAAAATAAAACATCTAGCAAACCTAATGTCACCCGCCTTTTTTAGATCAAATGTCTAAATCTTGAAGACATTTTAATTTACCAATAATCTTTAAAACTGTCTTTATTTTCCAAAATTACTAAAGTCATGTGAACTAAAAGGCATGAAAATTGTTATTTTTTGGACAAAATGTTTAAACATTTATTATTTTTAAACAAATTAATCAGAGCTCTTTCATATGTTTTGATAGTAAAACAACACACAGGACACATAAATACAGTTGAACAGACAGAAGAAGATCCAGTAGTTTTAAGAGTTTTTGACTTGCCAGTTTTTAAGTTTCTTAATTGTATGACTGGCTTCGGAGTAGAGCCCTTTGAGAACAGGGCCAGGAAAGCATGCAGTTCCTAGGGCCTAAGAAGCAGGCACAGCTGGAAGGCGAAACAGACCCCCCAAAATTAACAGTCTCATTTTTATATTGAAAGCAAATTTATTAGAGAAGTAAAGAAACAAAAGAATGACTACTCCATAAGCGGAGCAGCCCTGAAGTCTGCTTCTTGGCTATTTTTATGGTTATTTCTTGATCATATGCTGAACAAGGTGTGGATTATTCATTAGTTTTCCAGGATGTGTGTGGGACTTCTGGAACTGACAGTTCTCTTACTTTTATTTTATTTTATTTATTTATTTTTTTGAGACAGAGTCTTGTGCTATCACCCAGGCTGGAGTGCAGTGGTGGAGCCTAGGCTCACTACAACCTCTGCTTCCTGGGTTCAAGCGATTCTCCTGCCTCAGCCTCTCGAGTAGCTGGGACTACAGGCATGTGCCACCACACCTAGCTAATTTTTGCATTTTTAGTGGAGACAGGGTTTCACCATATTGGCCAGGCTGGTCTCAAACCCCTGACCTCATGATCCACTCACCTCGGCCTCCCAAAGTGCTGGGATTACAGACATGAGGCACTATGCTCAGCCTATTTTACTTTTATTTTATTTTATTTTATTTTTTGAGATTGAGTCTTGCTCTGTCACCCAGACTGGAGTGCAGTAGTAGTCTCTGCTCATTGCAACCTCCACTTCCTGGGTTCAAGTGATTCTGCTGTCTCAGCCTCCTGTGTGGCTGGGACTACAGGCACACACCACCATGGCCAGCTAATTCTGTATTTTTAGTAGAGATGGGGTTTCACCATGTTGGCCAGGCTAGTCTCGAACTCTTGACTTCAGGTGATCTACCTGCCTCAGGCTCCCAAAGTGCTGAGATTATAGGCATAAGCAACCATGCCCCTCTTCCTTTTAGACCATGTAGGGTAACTTCTAGATATTGCCATGGCATTTGTAAACTGTTATGGTGCTGGCAGGAGTGTTTTTTAGCATGTGAGTACGTTATAATTAACATATCATAAGCAATGAGGATGACCAGAGGTTACTTTGTCACCATCTTGGTTTTGGCAGGTTTTGGCCAGTTTCTTTACTACATCCTGTTATCAGCAGTGTCTTTGTGATCTGTATCTTGTGCTGGCCTCCTGTCTCGTCCTGTGACTAAGAATGCCTAACCTCCTGGGAATGTAGCTCAGCAAGTCTCAGCCTCATTTTACCCAGCTGCTGTTGAAGAGGGAGTCATTCTGGTTCAGACACCTCTGAATATAGCATCAGATCTCACAGGTTTAGGGCTCATTCCTCAAGCTGCCCCCAGCCAGTCACAAGTCCAGCCTCCAGAACGTCTAATGGACTGGCTTCAAATTGGGGTTTCCATGATCCCCTCTTTGGGTTTGATTACCCCTCTTTGGGTTCAATTAACTTGCTGGAGCAGTTCACAGAACTCAGGGAAACGCTATTTATGTTTACCAATTTATTATAATGGATATTAAAAAACATACAGATGAAGAGATGCATGAGGGTGAGAAATGAGGGAAGGGGTACAGAGCTTCTAGGCCCTTCCTGGGCACACAGCTTCCATGAACCTCCACGTGTTTAGCTATCCAGAAGCTCTCCAAACCCTGTACTTTTAGGTTTATTTGTTTGTTTGTTTTGTTTTTGAGACAGGGTCTTGCTCTGTCACCCAGGATGGAGTGCAGTGGCACGATCTTGGCTCACTACAGCCTTTACTTCCCAGGCTCCAGTGGTTTTCCCACCTCAGCCTCCCAAGTAGCTGGGACTATAGATGCATCACCAAATTTAGCTAATTTGTTCTATATATATATATAAAATATATTTTTTACATACATATATAGTATATTAACATATATTTAAAATATATGTATATATATTTCATATACATATATAGTATATAAAAATATATATTTTATATATGTAAAAATATATATTTAATATATATATTTTTATATTAAATATATAAATATATATTTATTATATATTTAATATATATGATACTATATATATTATATATGTATATAAAAATATATATAGTATCATATATGTAGTATGAAAAAACTATATGTGTATATATATAGTTTTGTTTTTTTGTTTTTGTTTTGTTTTTTGTAGAGAGGAGGTCTCCCTATGTTACCCAGGCTGGTCTTGAACTCCTGGACTCAAGTGATCTTCCCACCTTGGCACCTCACAGTGCTGGGACTATGGGCATGAATGCTGCACCAGTGTCCTTTTGTTTTTTTATGAAGGCTTCATGATGTAGGCCTAATTGATTAAACCATTGACCACTGGTAATCAACTTAACCTTCAGCCCCTCTGCCCTCCCCATAGGGTAGTGGGGGTGATGTTGAAAGTCTCAACTCCGTAATCTTGCCTTGGTGTTTCCGGTCACCAGCCTCCACCCTGAAGCTACCTAGCAGTTACTAGCCCCCAGTCAATTATTAGCATACAAGAAGACATCACTTCGGAAATCGAAGCATCTGGGGAGTTGTATGCCAGGAAACAGTAATGAAGACCAAAAAACATATTTTTTCACAACATCACAGCAACCTTCTCTTGCTCTGGACACAACTCACCATTGACAACCTTCCAATAGAGAGATGGAGAAGTATTTCTTTTTTGTTTTTTTTTTTTGAGATGGAGTCTCGCTCAGTTGTCCAGGCTGGAGTGCAACGGCGTTATCTCGGCTCACTGCAACCTCTGCCTCCCGGGTTCAAGCGATTCTACTGCCTCAGGCTCCCAAGTAGCTGGGATTACAGGCATGCTCCACCACGCCCAGCTAATTTTTGTATTTTTAGTAGAGGCGGGGTTTCACCATGTTGGCCAGGCTAGTCTCAAACTCCTGACCTAGTGATCCGCCTGCCTTGGCCTCCCAAAGTGCTGGGATTACAGGCATGGGCCACCGCATCTGGCTGCCGTTGGAGGAGTATTTCCACGTGTAAGTATTCTGCCTATACAATCTAAAGAGATCCCTAAAACACTGAAATCCAGAAAATATTAACAATGTGGAAGGACCATGAGTCTTTACATACAGTAGTTCCTGTAAGGTTTATTGCCAAGGTAAAATGAGGAACTGAGGCAAGTATAAGAAAATGAGAAGTTAATTTATTTAGCTCCCAGGCGAGGTTCTGTGGTCCAGGAAGAGGCCAAAGAAGTCGCACCCGGCTGTTTAGGTCATGGGGTTTTATGGGGAGAGAAGGCGATTGATTGGCTATTGGGGAAACAAAGCAAAGGCAATTTTTTTGGCTGTCAGGAAGAGGGCAGTACCTGAAACTAGTTGCCATTGGTAGGCGGGTGGGACTTTGGGTGAGTGGGCCTTGATTGGCTGTTGGGGAAACAAAGTGAAGGCAATCTTTTTGGCTATTAAGAAGCAGGAAATGCCTGGAGCTAGTGGTCATGGGTAGGCGGGCGGGACCTTAGGTAAGTGGGCCTTCAGGGGGCATACAGAGCAGAGTGCTACCGGGCAGGGTCTGATGGGGCTTCTTTAAAAGTTTTCCTGCAGGGTTTATGAACAGTGGGCTAGGGGTTAAATGCATAATTTAGTGCTGAATGTGGGCTTGGGTCTGGTATGCGGAGGCGGTGTGGAGAAGCCGTGTGGCAAGGCCAGATAATGAGCCCAGGTGATGATGTAGTTATCAGACGCGGAGAAAGATGGATGAGTCCGTTTAACCCTCTGCAACGCAGCCGGGCTTACAGTTCCCATCTTGTCTGAGGTTTTACTTTCCCGGGCTTTAGTTACCTGCAGTCAACTGTGATCTGAAAATATTAATAGAAATTTCCAGAAATGGCCGGGCGCGGTGGCTCACGCCTATAATCCAAGCACTTTGGAGGCCAAGGCGGGTGGATCGCCTGAAGTTGGGAGTTCAAGACCAGCCTGACCAACATGGTGAAACCCTGTCTTAAAAAAAAAAAAAAGAAAAAGAAATTTCCAGAAATAAATAATTCATAAATTTTAAGTTGTGTACCGTTGTGAATAGCATGGTATAATCTCTTGCCACCCCTCTCTGTCTGCCCAACATGCAAATCATCTGTTTGTCCAGAGCATCCACACTGTATCAATAACCAGCCCATTAATCATCTACATCATCTGCTTCTGACATCCAGCCATCAACATCATCGTGGCTCATGATCCAGGATCACCAGAAGCAGATGGTCCTTCTTCTGATGTATCGTCAGAAGGTCAATGGTAGCCTAGTGCTATGTTACAATGCCTGCATCAGTCACTTCCTTCATCTCATCACATAGTCATTTTAACATCTCCCATTACCACAAGAAGGGTGAGCACAGTACAGTCAGGTATTTTAAGAGAGAGAGCACATTCACATAACTATTATTACAGTATAACATTATAATTATTCTATATTATTAATTAGTTGTTAATGCTATATTATTATGTTATTGTTAATCTCTTACTCCACATAATTTATAAATTAAACTCTATCATAGATATGTATGTATAGGAGAAATATATATAGGGATCAGTACTATCTGTAGCTTCAGGCTTCCAATGGGGGTCTTGGAACATATTCCCCATGGATAAGGGCAGACTCCTGTAATTTATCTCAGTCAACTATGGTGCTTACCACTTCCTATTTGTGTCCAATTAGCATGATGTTATCA